TGCAATTAAATATGCAAATTCATAACTGAAAATCAATTGGCCACAAATACTACATATGAAAATCTTATATGTGTCTGCCAACTATAGAACCTAGTAAAAAAAAAAAAGGAAAAAAAAAGAGGTGTGTGTGAGGAAAAGAGAGTGAGGGGTGGCTGCCATAGATGTCAGTGGGGTAGGAGGCTGGGTCGGGATAGATTTTTTTTTTCTACAAGGAAGATGGTTGCTACTTGCTAGGATAAATATATATATATTTTCAGACTATTGGATAAATATAATAAGGTGCAAATGGTTATTTTTTATTTAATACAATTATGATGATGTAGACTTATTAAAGTTTATTAGATTAATCTAATGGTTAATATTATCTTAAATGCATGTAAATGCACGGATACTAAATATAGAGGCTCAAGATCCTATCAGTAACAAAAAAAAATAAGAGCATCCACAATCATGTCTCTTAATTTTAGTTAAAATTTAGCTAAAAACACTAGAAAGCTATTTTAGGAGCTCCTTATAAAATTTCAACTCCAACCATGCTCTCTAGTTTAGAGAATCATAAATAATTTATTTCTTTTTTTAGTTTAGCATAAATGCTTCCTCTTCATATAAAATAATAATAAAAAATAGTTGACATTAAATAAATACTTAAAATAGCATTAAAGTAATTTAATTATAGGGAGCCACTAGGAGTCCTTTCTCTCTCCTCAGATTTAGGAGCTCCTAGAGGTCTCCTTATTTTAGAAGTTGGATAGAGAGCATGGTTGGATGTGAGGTTTCTCACTTCCTCCCTAAATTTTGTCTAAGGAGGTGGTTTACGGAGTCCAAGAGCATCCACAATTATGCTCTCTATTTTTTAGTTAAATTTTAGCTAAAAACATATAAAAGTTATTTTAGGAACTCTTTATAAAATTTAGGGTTAATTACTGTAGACGTCCGTGAACTATGGCCCCAATTGCAGTTGGGTCCATGAACTAATTTTCGTGGCAATTACATCCTTTAATTAGACAATTAGTTGCAATTGGGTCCTACCGTCCAATTATGTCAATTTATCCGTTAAAATGAGGGGTAAAAGCGTCTTTTCGGGGTAAATAGATAATATACAGTTTGTCAAACTGAAAAGAAAAACTAAAAAATCTGGAAAATAATAATAATAATAAAATAAATAAATAAACTTAAAAATAAAAAATCCAAATCCAAATTCCTCTCTCTCAGAGCTCTTCCTCTCTGTCTCTCCCTCTCTCCTGCAACCCATTCCCCCTCCTCCTTAGTCCACCCCCTCAAAACCCAAATCCAAACCCAACCTGCAACTGGGTTTTGAGCATGAGCTGCCCTGTTTTGGGTCTGAATTTGAAGAGCTTGGCATTGGCTTGCGATCCCTCGCTTGTTCACGTCGCGATGACCATTGATTCAGAGTACTTGAGAGGCACCATGGCTGCAATTCACTCTTTTCTCAAGCACGCTTCTTGCCCAGAAAACACCTTCTTCCACTTCATCGCCTCATATTCAAGTTTAGTCAATTTACAGGACCTCACTCGTTGTCCAATCGACCTTCCCTTCACTGAGTTTCCGAATTTATGTGTTCAGGGAAAGCCGCGTCAAGAATCTGATTTCGTCTTCGATTCGACAAGCTCTCGACAACCCATTGAACTACACGAGAAACTACTTAGCTGACTTGCTCGACCCCTGTGTGGAGAGAGTAATTTATCTCGACTCTGGTGTCATAGTTGTGGATGATGTGCAGAAGCTATGGAAGATCTCTTTATCTGATTGGTGCTCCAGAGTATTGCCATGCAAATTTCACCAAGTATTTTTCTGATGGGTTTTGGAAAGACTCTGAGCTCTCTAAAGTTTTTGAAGGGAAAAAGCCTTGTTATTTCAATACAGGTGTTATGTTGATGGATTTGGTGAGGTGGAGAGAGGGTGAGTACACGAAAAAGATTGAGAATTGGATGGAGATTCAGAAGGAGAGGAGGATTTATGAGCTGGGTTCTCTGCTGAGCCCAATACTACTGATACTACTGAAGTACTCTGCTGAGTCCAGAAAATCAATTACCCAACAAATATCAAACTTGAAAGTTCAATACCCACATCAAATCTCAGCCCCAAATAGTTGAAACTTTATACTTTCAACCAAATCAAATACACCCAGCATGGCTACAATTTCATATCTGAAATAACCATAATTTAAAGCCACAAAGAAAACCCAGAAAGAAAATAAAT